GTAAAAAAGGACGTAAAGAAGATAATTTACAGCATTGCTTCACACTGTCGTTGTCTTCCATTTGCCTTTTTTTTTTTTTTAATTAATATTTTCTCTACTCTGCTTTTCTCGCTTTCATAACCTCATTGCTACCACATCGATCCTTTTCGTCTTGTATCGCACACTTCCCCTTGTCTTAGCTTACATCCACTCCCTGTGTCCTGCTTCTTATCGTCATATATTATGTATATATGACATTTTGATACAGACGTACGTGCTGATTGAATTGGCTAGTGATGCGTCGACTGTATCTTCACGTTATAGCATATTATAATTTCTTTGTTTCTGTCTCTTCATTTTTATTTTTAAAAATTTGTATACACGATATAAGGGGGGCAAAAGGGGGGGGGGGGGGGGTTGATCCGTTTCAGTTGTGTCCCATCGACACTTAAAGCAGTAGAGCGGGAAGTGAACAAACTTTATTTTAAAAGGGTCACAGCAAAATTGGGCACTCGGGCACGTCTTACTTACATCAGCCCTCCCCAACACTCAATTTCACACAATAGTTGTGAAGAAGAATCACCATTAGGGCATGCCTGCACCATTAGGGCATTAGGCATATAATAAACATATAAGTAAAAACCCTTTTTTCCGTTTTTCAGACGTATTGGGCATATAGGGCTAGACTTTTTTTTATAGACCAATCGGCACTAAGCTTTGATAACGTCATCATCACACCGGCCGCCTTTACTTCCCAGGACTTCATCTGATACCCATTTAGGGCTGGATCGACCTGGGAGCCAATGTCATTTTTGTTTTTGACAGGGGAAACAAGTCCGGCTCCGTGAGGACTTGAACCCAGGACCTTTGCTTAAACTCCACTACACCACGGTTGCGGCATATGATGCTAGATGCTTATTTTTTTTAGATTAGTTTAGTGGAATGGTGAACATCGTATCGGCCGCCTTTTACTTCCCATAGCATTTCCAGTTACCAGCTTTTTTAGCCTAGGTCGACATGTGATTCCAATGCTAATTATAAAAGCCCGTCGCAATGGGATTTCGATTTCAAAACATTCTGATTGGGCCAGTAATCGTCTAGCCCAGCGTGACCTGGTAATGAGAACCTCATCGAGGACCCAAGAAACAGTTATTCTTATCATTAATTTCTGTTATCCAGATAAGGTTTCAGGGAAGAACAATTGCAGGAGGTAAACAAATTGCTCTTCACAAGATATATTCGCCACATCCGAGATCGCCTTACGGTGCCCAAAATCCTGGTTGTTCGTTCATTTTGACTTTAACTTTGCGCCAGGGCCTGAGTTTTGCGAGTACATCAATTTTACAGGCTTATTTCTGTGCAGTTGGTTGTTCTTTACCTCTCCGACTTCGAAGGAAGCTTCTAATTTTTTTTTTCCTCTTACGACATGCTTTTTCGGTAGGCAGTGGGTCTGTTCTCTCCCCCCCCCCCCTTTTCCCCCACCGCTTTCCACAATGGGGCCAAGGAATCGATACGGGGAGAGTATATTCTACAGGCGCTCTAGTGTGTGTATGCGTGCGTTCGCGCTGCTGTTTTTATTATTCCATCGCATTCTTGTCTGGACACTGAGAGAGGCACAGCGTTAGGGTAATTGTCCTCTCATTTATCTCCCCTTATATTTCTTGCTTGTACATTTTTTGGGCTTCATCAGAACCTTCTATTGGCCATTATTTGTTCTGCGTGTGTCTCTCTCTCTCTCTCTCTCTTCTCTCTCTCTCTCTCTCTCTCTCTCTCTCTCTATCTCTATCTCTGTCACTCACGTCTTTCTATTTTTATCGACTTCTGTCTATCTTCTCTTTTTATATCTCCTTCATTCACTGTTTCTCGGTTTACTCTCTCCCCGTTACCTCCTCGCGGTTTCATTACCCCCCTCCCCCCTCCTTTTCCTTAAACTCATGTCGCTATCCCAATATGGGAGGCAATTTTGTGTTGTTTTAAGGCCCTGGTGAGGTTGGAAGCCAGTCAGTCTTCCCTGACTCTGATTTCTTTATCTATCTATCTATCTGTCTGTCCTCCGTCCGTCTGTCTATCTACCTCTCTTTCCCGTCCTTGAGTAGCAAACTTTTTACCTGAGTCTTACGTCCATTTATTTACGCGAAAAAGTTCGTATTCTGATAAATAAAATCATTATAGCAATGTTACCTCGACGCACCCTCTCGCCGCCCCCCCCCCCCCCTTAATTTTTAAAATCAACCTCTTTCTTTGCGCTCTCTTTATTTCTTCCTCGCCGCATTGATAACACATTAGGCCCTATATATGCACAGAAGGACATTTCTCCTCTCTATGGGAGTCCTTACACAATGTTTAAAACTCTGATTTTGCCTGCTTTTAGATGCGAGAGAATGCCAGTAACTTAGATTAAAACTGTGGAGAAGAAAATGTATTGATGGATCGGATATGCTGAAAGGGTTTTCTAGTTACCAGTGAGGAAGAAGGACGTTTGCAATTGGAATTGTAATAAATGTAGACAGGGACATTTTCCATGTCAGTCGTAAATGGTAATAAATGTTTACGGGGCATAATTTTGAACGTTATCTCCCCTCCCCCTCTCTATGTCCATCTCTCTGTTACCCCCCCCCCCCCACCTTTATTTAAAGCTCTCGTTTGTGAGTGTGTGTGTGTGTGTGTACCGCTACCCAAGCTAAAATATTTTTATTAAGGAAAAACCAAAACCAGAAAACTTTGGGCGCATTAAAAGACTTAAAAACCTTTTAAAAACCATACTGGAGGGAAAGGTCGAGAGCAAGAGGTAGGCAGTGATACAAATTGGGGGACAACATCGAGAGATGGATGAACAGAACAGCAGTTTGATCAGGTGTACAACCAAGACAAGAGACAGAGCATACTGGAGATTTATTGCAGCTAACTTCCAGTGTGGAGATAGAACTGATTGACTTATTGATAAAATCGTGTTGACAGATGGACAGCATGTATTGAAAAGCATCATGATTTTTTTGAAAATTTATGTATTTATTTATATAGAAAAGTTGATGAAAATAAATTCTGCAGCCAGATTGACTCAATTTTGTAAATAAGCAAAATTTTAAAATGTAATGAGATGTAAATTGAGATATTTAGTTTGAAGATATTCTGTTACAGAAGCAATCTTATGCTAACAAAAATTGTGATTTTAGTGAGGATGTATTTTGTACAGATTTAAAGATTCCTGACAAACTGAGTTCACAATGCAATGAGTGTTTATAGAACAAGAAATTCTCCTGTTTTGGAATTCTCTTTAGGACAAACTTGTCATGAAATGTGTCATATTTTACTGTAAGTGCTTGATTGAGCATATTTTTTTCTAAGTTTACCACAAACCTCAAAGGCAGTTGTCAGTATACACAATTAAAATTGCCTGTAAAATATCCCTCTAAAAATCTAATTGTCATTAAAAATTTCAGACTGTCTTATCTTTTTTAAAGTTTCTCTGATTTTGCAGATGGCAATATTGACATCTAGTGACTCAGTAAAAAGCAGCAGATAAATGGGCTTTTCGTACTAACTCTACGCTATCAGTGCCAGACATGGACAATCCTAGAAAAACATACATGCCAAATTACAACCTGTGAGATTAGATGTACAGGAAAATTGGTTGGAAAAATTAGAATTCACCAATGAAGAACTAAGACCAGTGATAGACACAGTACTGATAAATTATTTTGTAGAACATCTAAGAATCAAATGGTTTAGCCATCTGGTCAAAATCGAACAAAATCAGCTAGCAGCTAGAGCATATTAGATGAGAATAGCAGGTTACAAGGTAATTGGCCGATCTTCTTCTTGTGGTTGCTCTCTGATTTACACTGGCAGGCGAGTTCTTGTGATAACATTGACTGTGCTTAGGAAGTCCTTTTTAGTTTCATACAACTTTGAGTATGGTGTGGGTTTTCGGATGATAAACAAAGTTAAGTTGAGTCAAGAAGTGACATCACAGCACTCAGGGCATTCCCATGCATGTTCTGTCCTCGACTTCAGCAGCCAGTGCAGAGTTCCAATACTCATTTGGGCAGTATTCCCTTCTAAATGGGCTGTACGAGGGAAATTCTTGCAGGACATGGTCACCAGTTTCATACACAGCCCTTGTTAGCACAGTGGTGAACTACTTAGACGAAGCCTGTGTATTTTATATTAAATTTGTTATGCCCTGTCCTGAGGCATATCATAATGACCTGTCCATGGTGGTCAAGTAAGTGGTAGTCATCTCTGGTCAGATTCTGTTCACATCTGATAAACTGGATGGTGCTTTTCTTCTCAAAGTATTTTATGTTATTTATGTTGTTTTCCTGTTCATACTCAGCCCCTTTCTAGCATGTCTCTCTTTGGTTTCATTTCCTGATATACCACTATGGGACAGGATCCGCTGGAGTACAGTGTGCTTTTGGGCAGCCACCTTGCTAAGTTCAAATCTCAGGTGAGGAAATAGCCACTCTTGAGGACTTGTAGCACCAACAGTGCATCTGTGAAGACGACTTGGTGGCATTCAGAACTGGTATTGTGTAACATTTCGGCAGCTGGCTGTAGTGCTAGGATCTCGGCTGGGTAGTTGGAACGGAAGCCTACAAGAAAGAGATTGGTGGAGGGACTAAAAGAGACATTACAGAAACGCAGTAGAATGTTAACACAAGCTACGCAACTAGCAAAAGACAGAAATTACATCTAACTTCTCTCTGTGGTGCTTTATGGTATAAGCATAGGACAAAAGATGAAGAACAGGTGACTCAGTAAGCCAGTGTTCTGAAGCTAATCCAGGAGGAGCAGATTCCTGAACTGTTCAATTATATAAAACTATTATTTGGATGCCTTATGGTTACAGGGTAGCCTGCTGTTCAGTGTGAGTTGGATTCAGAAAACTGTACAAAGATTCTAACAAGATTGCATGAAAATTTCACTTCAGCACATTCTGTGGCTTTAGTGCCAATTGCAGGAGACTTTTTCAGAAAATTGTGAATGCACACATGTACGATTTTCTTTCTGTTTTGCAGAATCTGTTGACAGCCCTTGGGAACGAGCTGTTGCAGGGAACAAAGTGCCTTATTACATCAAGTGAGCAATTGAGCTTTATAGTTTATATTGTTTCTGTTATACAAAAAGTGTCACTTGTAGTTTAGGAATTTTTGACATAATGAAAAGTAAATATTTTGTTAATCTAAATGGCTTATATTGTTTTTGTCATGTATACTATGGGCTGTTCTTACTAAAAAGTAGGAATAGCAGTGAGGAAACAAATATAATGAGAAATGCATTTACAGGTTTTAATCACCACTCATGGAGTAAAAAAGAAGTTAGAATGGAGGGAACGTACGAGACCAGGTGTAGGCAACCTATGGCACAAAAAGCTTTTTTTTTTTTTTAGTGACACACTAGGGGAAATACTCACAGTACGTTTAATCTCATGGAGATAGGAGAGTGCAATAGCTAGATACTTACCTGGTGGCCCAAAGATTTTAACCCTGTCAGTGTGAAAAGCCGAAAAACTTCTTGTTCAGTCCAGTTCCAGTAATGATAACTTTTCCTATTTTTCTTTACTGACTTGTTTACAAGATGCATAATTAATGCTTTTTGCTGTTTTTACACCTGAACAAATGTTGTGGAGGCTAATATATAAATACATTAACTAACAATAGCATTTAGGGAAGTTTTCCTTTGAGTAAATTGCTTTTGTTTAAAAGCCCAGTTGATGTCAGAGTTTATTGTAAGCCTCAGTTATTTTTTTTTACCCCCATCAGAGATGTTGCATTTACTGCTTTATCTTGTTCATATTTATTGATTACTTCTTTCATGTATCTTTATATATCTAGAAGAAAATTTGAAAAATTTACATTAATTTTTATGTAGTCAGTTAATGGTCTTTGTAAAATACAATTTTTATTTTTTTAAACAAATTATTCTAATCAGGTCATGGCTTTTTTTTTTTTTTTTTAATAGTGTTCCTGGGGTAAAAGGGTTTAATTTGAATGCACACCAAATGGATTTTATTTTTGTCCATTAACCTTAGCTTTCAAGTCTAGCATCATTTGCCCGATATGTTACAGGTGTGATCATAGACCTTCACTTTACAGTATGATCTCATTAAAAATTAACTATTATGTTATCATTTTTTTAAAATCAGATTGTGGTGGACTGGTTAGCCTACTGAGTGACTTTGAAACATTACTTTGGAGCAACACTTCTTAAAGGTTGCTGACTCTTGCATGAGGCGGATACAAATTAAAAGATACTGGCAACACTCGGCTTTTTCAGTTGCCTCAGGGGTTCCCCAGCAGTTGATATTTCTGCATAACCTGTAATCAGATATAACTTTTTTGTAGCATTAATTTCGCAGTTTTTTAGGGGAGCTCTTATATTTTTTCTCCCTCCCTCTATATATCTCTCTTTCTCCCTCTCTCCTTATTTCTTTCTCTTCCTCTCTCCTTCTCTATCTCTCTCTCTCTCTCTCTCTCTCTCTCTCTCTCTCTCTCTCTCTCTCTCTCTCTCTCTCTCTCTCTCTCTCTGTCTATTTATTTGTCTGTCTCTGTTAGTATCAAATACATTTTCATTTTGATAGTTAAGCGTTTGGAATGGCCTGCTGTTAAAAGAGCCTGGATGCCCAGTTTGTGACCCTTAGAAAAATAGGTTGTTTATTCATTTTTTCTCCTCCACCCCTCGCACTCCTGCACTTTTATAGTTGTTGCTCTCACTAAAACATTTTGTGATGCTTTATCATGCTCATTTCTGTACATTTCAGTCATGCTACAGAGACAACACAGTGGGACCATCCTCAGTTAACTGCCCTTATGGAGGCCCTTAGTAGGTGTTTCTTTTTAACTAATGTTTTTTGTATCGGTTTTCGGATGATAAACAAACAGAATGTATTGATTGACACTCATAGATGCATTAACATCATTTAAATATACTCTCAAATGGCCGGAAGTAGTGAAGACAGTTTTGATGTATTTTATAGTGACCTGGAGAATGCCTTTAAAAAGTGGAAAAATTCAGAAGTAAGCATCAATATGAGACTTTAATGTTAAAATTTAAAACCAGAAACAGTTGGCAAATATGGATTGGTATAGCGAAATGAAAGAGGGGACAAGCTGGTAGAATAGGCAAAGAAGCATGATATGATTGTTGAAAACACCTGGTAGTAGCAACTTCTGACAAGATTGTTGATGTGGAAGAGTCGGCTACAGTGATCATAGATTAGTTATAGGTAAAATACATATGAAAAAGAAGACTGCTACAGTGATCATAGATTGGTTATAGGTAAAGTACATATGAAAAAGAAGACTGCTACAGTGATCATAGATTGGTTATAGTTAAAGTATATATGAAAAAGAAGACTAAACATAAACCAAGAAACATTTAATTAGATCTGTCTGCACTGAAGAAGGAGGATATTATTGACAATTTTCACTGTAGGAATGCAGAATAGATTTGGTAAATTGTCTGATTTTGAGATTATATTTCAAGATGTTAATGGCCAATGGGAAATTTTGAAGAGTTCAGTCAGTCATGCTGCAGTAGCATCCATCCCAAAGCAGAAGTTAATAGACCATAGAAAATGGATGACTGAATACATTTACAATTAATGGACAAGAGAAGAAGCAACAAAAATTACCTTGAAAAAAAAATATTAGAAAATTATAAAGAAGAAAAAGAAGAATGGCTATGCTTTACTTACTTAAGGAGCAAGTGCTGGGAGTTGCTGGATCCCCCTGTTAACAAGACACTTAAAGGACATCAATCAGAGAATAAAACTACAGACCTAATTAGAAGACAGTGGGTGGTGTGTTCATTAAAATATTGTTGACTTTAGAAGTTTTTGTGAAATCAAATGTATTTCTTTTTCCCTCAAACAGTGGAGTTGAACAAGATCCGGTTTGCTGCATACCGTACAGGAATGAAACTAAGAATGCTGCAGAAAAAGTTATGCTGTAAGTTTAAGACATTTGATGTTTTATGTAGCAACTTGATTAGTGATGTAGCACCATCTTTGCAGTCTAACATGTTTTATAATGCAGATTATCCCCGTGTGGGTTCTGGGGTCCCATTGTTGGGGAAAATAAGAATAGACTAAATGCCTCCCAACAAGCTTGTCGCAAAAGTCGACTAATTAGAAGCTTCCTTTGTAGTCGGAGTCCCTCTGTCTGAGAGGCAAGAAACCGTCTGCATACAAATAGGTCAGATCTGTAAAGCGGATGTTCATCCAACACTCAGAACAAGTCTTAAAGTCCAGAGGTAGTTGAACAACCAGAAGTTTATAACTAGTGAATGTGAAGAAGAAGAAGATAAAGCAGATTCTATTAATGTTTAGACATTCCTGATTTGAGTAAGCTAATATTTTTGCCTATTTAGTTACTAGGTGTAGTTACTTTTAAGTTACATGACATATTTATGTTTTGAGCACCAGGACATTGATAATCAGATAAACAAATTATTAACCAGACATTAATATTTTGTTGTTATTGTCATTTTTATTGTCATCAAGAGTTTTGCGGACTGCGCTCGTGATCGTGCCTCTTCACAAAGTACGATCTTCAACAGCAAGTGTCTGTTTATGTGCTGGCACCCTTCTGTGCCATGACAAAAGCTGCTAAGAATCTTTTCAGACTGTCTTTATCTGACTCTTTTTCCGACAAGTCTTTCCATTGGTCAAGTATTCCAGATTCCTTCTTCTCATAACATGATCAGAAAATGATGTCTCTTTTTGATGTTTGTGATAAATTTCTTGGAGCCTTCTCCTCTTTCAGAACATCTGGCTTACTCTCTTTGGCTGTCAGTGGGATTTTAAGGATTCTCTGAAATTCAAGAAGTTTTTTTTAAAACATAAAATCTTCCTCTTCTTCTTCTTCTTTGCCTTCACCGGCTGTAAACTCTGGCAGAAAATTCTGGTTGTTTGTCCATTTCTGGACTACAGTCCTGTTCCAGGACCTGAGTGTTGTGTGTGCATCCGTTTGACAGAGTTGACTAATTTTTATGCGGGCTGTTGGTAGACATACTAATATTTTGAGTAACCGAGCATATTAATATTTGAGCTTTCATTGACCAAAGAGAGGATAGGTGAAGGGTGTGGTGGATGATCTCCAGATGGGTGTATTGGACGCTTGTGATCAAAAAGTTTTCTGGAGGGTTGTTATGGGAGCAAGGTTCTGCATAGGACATGCTTCTGACTGACTGACTTAGCTTTCATTGGCTGTAAACTCCAGTTTGTCTTTCATTGGCTGTAAACTCCAGTTTGTCTTTCATTGGCTGTAAACTCCAGTTTGTCTTTCATTGGCTGTAAACTCCAGTTTGTCTTTCATTGGCTGTAAACTCCAGTTTGTCTTTCATTGGCTGTAAACTCCAGTTTGTCTACTTCTGAACTTTAGTCTTGTCCCAGAACTTGAGTTTTTTGCATGCATGTCTGTTTTCCCCCAAATAGGGATCCCTACGCCCACATAGATATTAGTATTCTCATAAACTAAACACATGAACACTATATTTTTATTTCAGTGGATATGGTGTCCTTGCAAATGGTAGTTGATGCTTTTGACAGCCATGGGTTAAGGGGTCGCAATGACAAGCTGATAGATGTCGGTGAGATGATCGAGTGCCTGTCTACAATCTTCGAGGCAGCAGCCAAATTTCACCCACAGATTGTGAATGTGCCACTTTCAGTAGACCTGACGCTGAATTGGATTTTAGATGTGTACGACAGGTTAGGTTTCTTCACCTCTTCCCATTCAATCACTTTGTATTACGTAGTTTTATCTATTATCTATAACATTCATTATAAATCCTTTTAGGTTTCATATTTAACATTATCAAAGGGTTTGTTTAGATGTTGCAAAATGTTTTTGTTTTTTTATAATCCAAATTCAGTATACATATAATTACACTAAAAAGTGTTCCTGATGAACTATACTACGTTTTTTTGTGGGTTTTTGTTCCTGGCTAAGTTTCATACAGTTTTGTAAAAAAAATTTAGTGTCGATTATTTGGCCCACATATCTTTTTTCCTCCACTTCATTTGCAATATCCACAGCGTAGCAGCTAGACGCTTGCGTGTGGATCAAAAGGTTATGGGTTCCCTCCTTGGCTGAGCCTGACTTTTTTTTTTTAATGACCTTGACTTCCAGGTCGACCCAGCCTTGAGTGGGTGCAGTCCGGGGAAGTAAACGTGGCAGGCATGATGCTGACCACATCACTCATCTTGTGCCGATTGGTCTATAAGAATATAGTTCTAGCCTTATATGCCCTATACGCCTAAAAGCGTAGAAATGGGATCATTACTTTATTTTTTTTTTTTTTTTTTTTCAACTTTTTCATTTGCAATAGAATGTGTTAAATCAAAGTTAATTATCCAGGCTAGACAAAATAAACATATCAGGACAGAGTTTAGTTTATATTTAAAAAAATTAACCAATGTTCCTTTTTTATATCCTGCACATTACCTCCTTATTTCTGTATTACTTTCAGTGTCAGAAGTGGCAAAGTGCGGGCTCTGTCTTTCAAAGTGGGATTAGTTCTGCTCTGTCAGGCTCAGCTTGAGGATAAATACAGATGTGAGTATTGTGTGTGTGTTTTGTGTGTCAACTAGATAATTTACATATACATGTGAGTATTATGTGTGTGTTTTGTGCATTTACTAGATAATATACATATACATGTGAGTATTATGTGTGTTTTGTGCATTTACTAGATAATATACATATACATGTGAGTATTATGTGTGTGTTTTGTGCATTTACTAGATAATATACATATACATGTGAGTATTATGTGTGTTTTGTGCGTTTACTAGATAATATACATATACATGTGAGTATTATGTGTGTGTTTTGTGTGTTTACTAGATAATATACATATACATATGAGTATTATGTGTGTGTTTTGTGCGTTTACTAGATAATATACATATACATGTATGTGAGTATTATGTGTGTTTTGTGCGTTTACTAGATAATATACATATACATATATGTGAGTATTATTTGTGTTTTTTTTTGTGTTTACTAGATAATATACATATACATATGAGTATTATGTGTGTGTTTACTAGATAGGAAAAAAAATAGATGTATTATGTGTGTTTGCTCATCATCATGTAGCAGGTCCTTTGCAGAACGTCGCTATCATCCCGATCTGCCTGAAAGAAACTTTGTCTCTCGCCAGCTCTCCCGCCTCATGTACTTTCATACTCAAGAAGTCACTTATATCCTGTGCCCATCTTTGTGTTGTTTAGCCCCTGCCTCTCCTTCCTAGTACCATGCCTTCTGCTATATATTTTTCCAATCTGTCGTGGATGTTGTTTATTAGCCAATCTTCCTTGGTGTTCAGATCTTTCCAGATGTATTTCTCTTCTTCTTAGTCCTAGATATTCTGAGAATTTTTCTATAGCATTTCAGTTCAAAAGCCTCTATTCTGTTTCATAAGGACTGGGAGATAGTCCCCGACTCACATCCGTATGTTGCTACTGGGAAGATGCATGCTCTCAAATTTCTATTTTGTATCTCCTTGCTGGTGCTTAACCATAGACTTTTTAGGCTGTTTAATCTTCGCATGTTTGTTTACTAGATAGGATAAATATACATGTATTTTGTGTGTGTTTCCTAGATAGGATAATTATACACTGAGTATTATATTTGTATGTTTAAAAGAAATGATAAATATATAGACATTTTATGTGTTTACTTGCTAGGTTACATCACTCTTATGATTGTCATATTCACCTTTGTGTATAGCAATGAAATGCAAGAAAGCTACTAGGAAAATGAAATATTTAAAAAATTGACTTTCTAAGCTGTAGGTTATTGCTGTATACAAAGGTAAATTTTTTTTTTTTTTATGGAGGCAACTATTTACAAAATACAAGTGGAGCAAAGAAAAAGGGTTTAGTTGACATCACAGTGAAATAAAAACAAATTTTTCACCACAAATAATATATAATTTTTTTTTTTAATATAATTATGGGGAGCCTCTGTGGTCTGGCAGCTAGACACTTGCATGAAGGTCATGGGTTTGGGTCCAAAGGCCGGGCTTTTTTTCAAAAACGACCGTGGTTCCCAGGTCCACCCATCCTTCAGTGGGTATCAGGTACATTCCTGGGAAGTAAAGGCGGCTGGCGTAATACTGACCACATCACCCACCACGTGCCGTATGGTCTATAAAATATAGGTGTAGTCCTATGTACTCAGAACACCTGAAGGTGTGGGGAAAAGGTCCTTTACTTTACTAAGTATAATCATACCCATCATGTCTAAAAACTGTGCAGCTGCAGCCAGTCACAAAAGCTGTCATGGTGACATACCGTGCATTGACCAAAGATATCTTTCAACCAGAACCCATACAAGCCAGAAAAACGACTTTCTTGGGGCAGGAATATAGAGCACCATAGGCACACCTGACTTTCCACATTGTCCCAACAATTTTAGGTTGGGGAGTGCATCGGAGAAGATGCTATCCTTATACTAAGATGAGGAAATGCAGCCTGAAAGTTATGGCAGGGCAGACCAGACCTTTAGCCATGGGTGGCAGATTGTCTGTAAAGAAAGCACCGACAGGCTGATTGACAGAGCACTTTCTTTTCTGATCCCATCCTTCTTTTTAACACAGTGCAGCACTGTCGTCTGGAGAGACAAAAAAAAGTGCCAACAGAAAATTTTTGATCTTGCGTACCTTTAGCTTTAAGTGATCCTGGCATCTAGTGTGTCTTTATTAAGATTCACATAGTATCCATCGCTAAGAATTAAATTATTGCTGTTTAACTGTGTATGTACAGAAAATGTAAGGTAATCATGGAAAAAGCGGTGACACGTAAAAGTTATAAACAAACAAAGAATGAAATTGTATTTCAGTATGAGGTCATGGACACATTAAAACTCATGAAAACTGTACTAAAAGAACAATTAAAATTAGAAGATAATATCCTGAGTGGACCGAAAGGAAAATCTTCATAAGAAAACAATTCTGGGAGTCTGTTGAAAGAAACCTTTAACAACAAGATAGCAATTGCACTTATTTTTATTCATATTATCCATAATTTTCTAGGACCATTGACCCTATTTACTGTACGATTACTATTTACTGCAGGCTAAGTTTTTAAATTTTTACTCTTTCAGACATCTTCAGACTTATTGCTGACACAAATAAATTTGCCGACCAGCGAAAACTAGGACTTCTCTTATATGATTGCATGCAAATTCCACGCCAGCTGGGAGAAATTGCATCATTTGGAGGCAGCAACATTGAACCTAGTGTTCGCAGCTGTTTTGAAAAGGTAAGAATTGGTGTCTGTTTTATATTTATGAAACTGTAGAGTTGTCAAATTCATTGTGGTTTGGTCCTTGATAACGGAGTTTTTTCTTTTTTCAACACATATGCATTGTCTTTTTTTCATAATTCTCTTACGACTGGAGCAGGCGCAGGCTATAAAGACTCCAGTCCTGTCTGTTGCTTATCCACACTTTATTTGTTGTCAGGCTGTTTCAGTTTCCACCTACATCTTTCTCTGTCATCCTTTGCCTCTCTTACCTAGTATTTTCACACAGCCTGCTAATTTCTTGGTTCCATCTCTTCTATTGATATGTCTCATAATGTTTATTCTTCTTTCAGTGCGGCTGTAACTTTTCTTTTCAATATTTTTTTATTATGAATGATCTTGAGAAGTCAAACTGGTTGACCTCCATAGATCTAAACATACAAATAAGTCACCAAAAATGGACATTGAAACTAGTCAGTTTAACAAGAATACAAAAATGTGTGACAGATGAACATTTCAGCAAGAAAACCTTACATCGGCATACAAAAACAAAGTGACACTGACAAATGTGAGAGAAGAACTCGACATTTAAAACTACCCACACACATAAAAATCTCCTAGCTTTTCAAGTTTTATTAGTTGTGTCTAATTATAATTCCTCTTTTGTCAGTGTTTGCTTTCTGCTGCTAGGCGTCTGAGTTTAACAACAGATGATTGGTATCTTTGCCAGGGTGTGCTAGGTTGCTTGGTATGCAATGATGTTAGGTTGTCAGTGAGTCCTTTGATCACTCTTCTTCTGTGTCTCATTCTGCCTCTTGATGTTTCTACTTTCATGTTGTAACTCTCCCTGCTGGCATAGTTGAACTCATTCTAAATATTAAAGCACAGAAATCCAGTTGTTTCATTCCTAACCTCACTAAATGTGTATGTTTCATTCAAAATATATTGTTCTGTATGTCCACATTTCCCTGGCTTCAGTTTCTTCTTCTTCTTTTTCTTCAGCATTTCCGAGCCATTAAGGTTCATTGCTGCAGATATCACCTGCCTCCATTCATCTCTCTAGTTGGCCTTCTTCAGCATTCTGAGCCCTTAAGGTTCATTGCTGCAGATATCACCTGCCTCCATTCATCTCTCTAGTTGGCCTTCTTCAGCATTCCGAGCCATTAAGGTTCATTGCTGCAGATATCACCTGCCTCCATTCATCTCTCTAGTTGGCCTTCTTCAGCATTCTGAGCCCTTAAGGTTCATTGCTGCAGATATCTTTCATCTCTCTAGTTAGCCTTCTTCAGCATTCTGAGCCCTTAAGGTTCATTGCTGCAGATATCACCAGCCTCCATTCATCTCTCTGGTTGGCCCTCTCTTTCCACTTGGTGACACCAAGTGTTTGCAGGTCTGTCTGGATATTATCTCTCCATCGTCTCGGTCTGCCTCGTGGTCTGGCTTCAGTTTGACTTTTAAAATTAACTGTTGATTGTTAAAGTGTCTGTGTCATATTGTGCTGCTGAATACATGTAACATGTGACAATTCTTATTTTTAATGCCTTGTTTATGTCTAAAAATAAAATTATTTTTCATGTTGTTGAAAATGTTGTTCAGCCGTATTACCTGTTTTCTGTTAGGCAAATGGTCGTCCAGAAATCGAAGCATCACATTTCTTAGAGTGGTTAAAATTGGAACCACAGTCTTTGGTATGGCTTCCTGTGCTTCATCGACTTGCTGCGGCTGAAACTGCCAAACATCCAAGCCAAGTGTAATGTGTGCAAGGACTTTCCCAATTGTTGGTTTTAGGTAAGTTCCTGCATTTCAGGTACTTTTTTTCTTCTTAGAGTTCATGGGTTTGTAAACACCAGCAGAAAGTTCTGGTTGTTCTCCACTTCTGGACTGACTTTGGGCTTGTTCCAGAACTTGAGTTTTGTGGGCCCATTTGTTTACAGGTTTTCTTATGGGTTACACCCGTGTGCCATGATGTTGATCTATCGAAAAAACATAAACAGGTTTGGTTTATGTGTGTGCAGACTGTTGGTTTCTTGCCTCTCAGGCAGATGCACTCCAGCTTCAAAGGAAACCTCCCCAATTAGTCACCATTTATGATATGCTTGTTAAGGGGGCAGTGGGTCTGTTTTCATCCCCCCCCCCCTTTTCAATGGAGTCCTGAAACCCACACAGGGAGTTTCATATACAAATACAATGACTTTTGCATGATATTTAGTGTAAGAGGACTATAGTAACATGTGAATGTTGTTGGTAACCAATGCAGTGCCGTTGTAGTGCATGGACCCACTGAGCAGTTGCCCAGGATCCCCACGAGCATAGGAGTCCTGTGCTAATCTGTGTAAGTGACTTGTGATAAATACAAATTATATTCCTGTGTGTTGTTGTCGCAGATGCCCCAGCACACTGGTTTTTCCAGGGGCCCATAATGCTGTTATAATGGCTCTGAACTAGCGGTATGTAAAAGTAATTTGCCTGTCCTTCTCAAGATGCCGCAAATCAATCCTATCATATATTGCCTGTTCTGTGCTTTTGCAAGTCACTTTTAGACTGGGCAGTCCCTCTGAATGATACAGCACTTAAATTGTTAAAACCAACACAGTCTGATGCAAAATCATAGGCTGCTGACTTCTAACACTGGTATATCCATATTGTGAAATTTTGTTTATGTTTACTAAGTCAGGGTTTCCCAGTTGGTCTGCAGACATTCTGGGGTCTGTGGAACAAATGTCAGCAGCAGGAACACTGCAACTATGGGATGTCTTGTTTGGAACTGTGATTACCTAACTTTTCAACCTTGGTCGTTTGCAGTGATTGCCTAACATCAAATTTGTGCTGGAGATTGTCCTGAGGGCTAAGGTTGTGGGAAAAAGGGCTGGTCCTCATATCTCACATGCTTATGATATGTAAATCCTGTTCACCTTAACCTCCTGTGGCAGTATCTACTATGGTTTACCTTATCTTTAATTCATATAGGGAGAGCATTCTGGAGGCCGACAGGAGATAGAGTTATCTGGAGGTTTGAACTAAATCAAATTACTAAAGAGGTTTGAACCAGATCATTTCAGGTGGCAATGTGACCACATAAACATGATATCTTCTTTTTCTGTGTTTGCCCATATAAGGGGGTTAGCACAGTGTGTTGTGGTTTACAGCTAAGTTGAGATATCTACACCTCTGAGCCCAGCACATCCAATTTCAGAAACCTCTAATTAGTCGCTTTCAAAGGGGTAGGAGATCTATTCCTTTCCCAAAAAATTGGGCTGCAGAACCCACATGGGGAATAAACATGATATGAAAACCTGCATAAATCTAAATATTATGCAGTAAGAAATGTATAATAAACTTCTAAATATATCAACTGCACATTTTCAGCATTTCATGATCACACCTACTGCAGCTTTTAGCAAAATTAATTTTGCTTTTAACATCCCTAAAGTTAAGTCTACAACTTTCCAGGTATCGCTGTTTGAAGTGTTTCAACTTTGATGTGTGCCAGAACTGCTTCTTCTCTGGTCGCATTGCTAAAAGCCACAAGCTTACTCACCCAATGCAGGAATACTGTACAACTGTGAGTACTTACATGTTTGTTTTTTAATGATTTGTGTACCTTTCATGTATGTATGTTATTCTAAGAATATTAGAGATAAAACTATAATATACAAATAAATGATCTTTTTTACAGCTCAGAGTGCATCAGACATTTAGACCTTTATTTTTTAAGATTATCTGGCAGTCGATGGGTGATATGATCAGCATTTTGTGAACTGCCTTTTCTTTCCAAGATATGACCTGGTACCCATTTTAGGCTAGGTTGACCTGGGTGCTGAGGTCAGTTACTTAACAAAGTTGACCTCAGTGCCAAGCATTATACCTTCTTGCAACGGGTTGGTGGGTCTAGTCACTGTGCTACTGCAGTTCCCACATTATTATAGGAGCGGGCTTCACATAAAAACCTCCAAAGTGTGACAGCCCTTACAGAAACCCAGCCATTATCTATACAGATGGTTCAGTGTTGAGAGGAAAGAGAAGTGCCTATGGTTTGTAGTTTGTTTGTTTTAGTATCCAGAAGCCATGAATTGTTAACCCTTAGGCTCGGTATTATGGATATCGTAACCTTTCGGCCTTGATTCCATTGTAAATACCGTAAATCTGGGAGAAATGTGGCTTTTCTGCCTACCCCCGGGAGTGAACCCGGACCACAAGGAGTTCGTCAGCTGGTCACCGTGCAATCCTTTTTAGCAAACTACGCTAGAGAGCCGGGCCAGGGTTCATAGTAAAAGCCAATGGACTTTAGTGCAAGACAGCCTAGCATTTGACACCACAACATCTAGCATAAGAATGGAGGTGGAGGCGGTAACTGCAGCTCTCCGGTCGCTAGAGAACAAGATGCACACACGTGTCATAATTGTAACAGACTCTGAAAGCTTGCTGAAAGAAGGTGACAGGCATGCTTTCAGCAGAGTGGCTAGCTACACTGGAAAGGTCACGGGTGGTGAGCATACTTTGGATATTTTCTCCAGACCATGCTGGCGTGGTGGGTAATGAACAGGTAGACAGACTGGCTGGATCCGCACCACTGGGTGGTGAATTGATTCATGACAAGGCAGATGTGGTCAAAGCCCTTTGGGAACAAGCAACGGAATCAGTAGAGAAAGAAGATTATTATGGCCTGGAGAAAATGAGGTGTAACCAGAGGGTCTGGCCGGCTCACTACACTCAGTGGAAAGGCAAGATGGACTTTTAACCAGATTGTGACCGGTACCATCAGTATTGGAACTCTGCCCTGGCTGCTGAAGATGAGGACGGAGTCTGCATGGGAATGCCCCGAGTGCTGTGATGTCAATTCTTAACTCAACTCAACCCAGCTATTGTCTTCTGACCTGTTAGTGTTGTTCTTAAGGATGTCAAGCACATGCACCACTTGCAGATGAACACGATGATATAACGACAGTTTAAAGATGGCCACCCCACTTTTGACATGTACCAGCGAGGATTAGTGTTCTGTTATCCATTTTTTTATAAGTGATGGGGGACCTGGTCATGAGCAGTCTGTCACAGAAGTCACACCATTTTAAAACTTTCTACTCCACTCATACAATTGCTGGACTCACAGACATGCATCACCATACTGAACCTTCATGTGCTGATTAATTTGTATTGGTTACAACCCTCACTGAAGAAGAAACAATGTATAACAGAAGGCTGCTCCTCTTTGGTGCATGTCATTATGATGTCAATGTGTTTGTCTGCACCATGATATTACTTGCATAACACTCTTGACATCCTTAACAAATCCCTTCTTATAACTTACTGTTATAGTAATATATAAAACACAACTTGAAGTGGCAAACAGTTTTGATTCATTGCCAGAATTCAGTCAGCCTATCAAAAGGCCTTTAACCATTTATTTAAGATGTTCCTCAAGATATGTTTGCTACATTGGCAAACTGTGGTCATGGGTAATTTCTGTTTAAACAATGTTAGTTCTTTATCTCTTGTTGGAAATCTAATGAAATAAAGGTGTTGAACATGTTTAGCATTGATGCATCTATAGCCATTCCCCTATCAGTTGCCTTTATTGGTGGCTCTCAAAATTAAGGCCTCTTTGAACGTTATGTCTTCCAGTCCTATTTTACTTAACAACCATTTTATTAAGCACTACTGCAATATATACTTTGTGGTGAGTGTTGGCATCTTTTTTAGGCACTGGGGAAGGGGGGGGGGGGGGGGGTTGGCATCTTGTTTTCTCCAGGGGGAAAAAGTCCTAATTACAATTATTTAAAAATTAAACTTAAAATATATTAAGTTTTTTTAATTTATATTCCTATAATCTGTTGCAATTAATACACAGTGTATGTGAGATAACTGGTAATTGACAAGCATGAATATGCAATATTGAAGAAGAACAAATGGGGAAAAAACTATATATTCCAGTTGTAATCCAGATGGTTTGAACAGAATTTTGTTGTATAAGTTACTGCTATGCCATTATCATATATCTGTTTATCGTTGCACAGACAACATCTGGGGAAGATATGCGAGATTTCTCCAAAGTGTTCAAGAATAAATTTAAGTCAAAACGCCACTTCAAGAAACATCCCCGACGAGGTTATCTCCCTGTTGATTCTCATTTAGAAGGAGACAGCCTGGAGAGGTATTTTCTTGTTTTATTTTTATTTTGCAGCTATTTTTAAATTCTGTGCAAGTTTTACTTAGAACAATTTTAGAATGTTAAAATAAAGCAAGTGTTGTGTTTTTTTTTTTTTTTTTTATAGTATAAAGTATTGCTTTGTTTTGTTTCTTGATAAAGACTGATTGAAATTCTCATTGTTGTATATGAATATTTTCATATCCTTTCACCACACTTTTCAAGTTAGTTCTTTCTGTGTTTTTTTTTTTAATCATTTTTTTTAAATGTCATTCTTTGTACCAGCTTAAGAGCTGCTCCCCCACCGCCCTACCCAATCACCTTTTTTTTTCACTTTAAGATATTTCCTTGGAAGGGAATGTTATTGCATCTCACTTTGTTTGATCTTCTTGACCTTTAAGATTCTTTCAGTAGCTAAACTACCATCAACATACCTTTTTACATCACTGGGACACAAAATCCTCCCCCCCCTCCCCCTTTTCCATCCTTTTATATAAAAAAGGTGAGGACTCCAACAAGATGGTTTTAGAACTGTCATTCCCTGAATATCTGTTAGTTGTCTAGCAGGATGCTAAAAGCATTACAAAAAAGTTTCATTATCAGTTTTGTAAAGATTACAAAGTTTTCTTTTAACTCTTTTCAGCCCAAACCCATCGCCACAGCACAGCATTTCTCAGGACATGCATTCCCGCCTTGAGATGATGTCAAGTCGGTGAGTCTGTCTGGTCATCTGTTGATTATTATTTATCATCATCAGCATCAATCAGCATGTCCTTTACAGAACGCCACTCTTCTTGTCATGGCACGCCCCCAAAATATGTCTTTCTCTAGCCATTTCTCCAGCCCTATGTGCTTTTACAGCCAGTGCATCTTCAGTGCTTGTATCCACAGTGGTGAAAGTCTGCCTCTGCTTCGTTTTTCAGGAACCCTTTATCGCCATTCTTTCTCTCCAGGCCACCATGAGGTTTTACATGGCCAAAATACCTCAGCTTTCTGGGGAGGATGCTGTTTATAAGCCAATTCTCCTCAAAGATAATATGTAGGATATCCTTTTTTTTTTTTTTTTTTTATTATACAAAGGGAAAATAAAAAACTACATCATGTTTTTACCACTAGAGTAAAATTATTTTCTGGTAGCTAGTTTTGTACACAACATCACAGCTCACTGAATACTTTCAGTCTTTCTAAGTTTTTGTGCTTCGTATATTTTCATGCCCAAGGCATCTTCAGTCATTTTAATCGCTGCAAATCATTGGCGTCATGAGAGCTAATAGGCTGCAATAGTAGGGGCATCTAAAGAAAATTGCAGATAATAGGGAGTGAAAAACTGTGTACACGGAAGAGTTAAATAGGATAGACCACACGGCAGAAGAAGAAGATGGTAGAGAGATAATAGGCGTACTTACAAGCAACATTCTACCTTTATAGTCTCCCTTCTTTCTTATATCATTTCATTCATTCATACAAGTAATAGTAAACGTTATCAACTGTATCAAAATATTCAATACAAGCACTTGATTGTGCACATTTATAACTACAGTAAACCGTTGTAGTTGTATTAAATCAAATGGAAATGTGTGCTATTTCTAAAAAAAAAAAAAAATATGTGTGGTTTTTTTTTTTTAATATATTTTATTGGGGCATGTGATCTTTGCTCAAATAATTTCAAGTTTCCGATTGTATGTTTAGGGACTAGTGGAATTTTTTTTTTTTTTTTTTTAAGATAGTTCTAAAACTGAACTGCTGAGTACACCAAACTTGTTTTTGTATATGGGTCTGTCCTAGGTTTAGGGATGCGTAATATGTTTAGGCATTTACTATGCGTTCCATTATATTTAAGCAACGGCCATAAGTAACGGCCTTTTGGGATACTATTTTGTGAAAATGCAGGTGAGTGATAACTGCAACAGGAAACCTGAAGGGCTCAGAATGCTGAAGAATGTATCTACATTGTCCTGTTAGTTGACCACTACCTCATATTTCAGGGAATATGCTCTCCATTACCATTCTATCTAAATCTCAGTGATAGTCTAACAGTTAAATTATATGCAAGAGCAGTTTTTAGATTGTTTTCCACCTTCTTCTATTTTAGGATTGCAGAGGTTGAACAGAGACAGGGGGCAGTGTCTGATATGTAAGTACTTCAAATGCTTTATTTGTGAATGTGATAAATCTGTTGTGCATCTTGTTTATCATTGATAACAGTTATTGCAACAAACTATTTATGCTTCCATATTTAAAGTTGTTATGAAATCAAATTTTGTGAAGATACAGGTAATTCTTTTTCCTCACATAGCAAATTAATAGTGTTAAAATGTGATTTGGGAATTTACCAATTAAAAGATTGTCTTTGAATACATTGAAAGGAAGTGCATTTACCATAAATTTTGCAAACATTTGTTTATGCATAAGAGAGCACAATCAGTTTTGAGAATAATTCACAGATATTTAAATGAATTTCATAACAAATGTATCATACTCAACTCATCAACTCCCTTAAACCACTGACAGAACCATAATTTACTCAGTTTGATACTGAATTAAAAATAAATATTAATTCATCCATATTATTTAAATTTCACAAAAAGAAATGTGTTGAAAATTGATAAAGCTCAGCTAAAATGACAGACGTCTGGTACTATTTAAAAATATACATAACTGTCTTCAGCAACGGCATGTTTTTCAGTTATAATTAGTATTTACTGGAATGTGCATCCCATTGTGAGCATGTAAAAGTTTAGCCCTAGTGAAAGGATCTGTGTGCATGATATCTACAGACTCATTGTGTATATAGTTTCTTCTAAACTTTCATACATGTAAGCATGCTGTACAAGACTTCCTTCTTCCTTTCTTTATGTGTCCTATATTGCTTGTAAATTTTAGATAAATGTTACTCATCTGTTGAGAAAAATGTGGAGCGCATGGGCTGAACCGCACGTAAAAACAAAGAAAAATAGAACAACTTGGCTTGAGTTGGTTGAGGGCTTGGTCCATTTGGGGAAAAAGGGTAAGAAGAGGAGACCACCCTTAGTCTAGTATTGTTTGTTAAAATCTGTGATGAATTATAGTTGTAGTTTACAGTATAGTTTTGCATATCTACAATCTTTACATATGTCTGACATTCCCGTCCTTTCAGAAAAAAGGAGAATGTATTGATAATGGAAACTTCAAAGTCAGATATATCCAGGTACTTCCTTCATTCTTTTTTTTTTAACAAACAAAACAATTATGCCATCATTGCTCACTTTTGCTTCATTTTATTTCTGTAAACTTTAAAAAAGAACAATCAGATCCGTTAGTAAACAGAACTTATAGTAAAGTTTACTCAAACGAAGTATTTGTAATATCTCAGTAAGTTTATCCTTCTTGGTGGGCTGTCCATAGTGAAGAGGTCAAGCCATTTGCCTCATGCTCTGAAGGGTGTGGGTTTGTTTGCATGCCATGTTTCTTGGTATGAGTTTGAGTATAAATGGAGATACTTGGTGGTTGCCTCTGGAGCTGTGGAGTTTGTGCTGTGTGTATTTCTCCCAGCAGAAAGAGATTGAGGCAGTACAGATTTAAAAAAAATTAGGGGACAAAAACATGAGTATTTTTTTTGAGAATTTATCTTTTCACATAACATATTAAGACTACAACTGTTGTATATTAAATTTATGATGGACAAAACATATACATTCTGAATCATGTACCAAAGTAAAGTAAAGTTTGAACAGAAAATAAACAACATATCTCAAAGTTTATTGCCTGGCCTATTTTGTAGTATCTCGTCAGATGCATACTACAGTAAAGCTGATTAAAGCAAATAAATGAAACCTTCGAACTGAAACATAAAATCTACAACATTCACAAGTAACTGCCTGTAAAGTTGCAATTACTTTATTAATATTCTATAGATGTGGTGTGTGGTAATATGTTAGTAATGAAAGACGGTTTTTAAAACAGCAAGAAGAATTGCAGAATTCCAAAAACTGGAAACCATCATGTTTAGAAAATGTGTCAGTTGGTGATGAAAGTTTTAAGAGAAGCAAAACATTACATTATCACTTTATATTTCATCATAAACAGAATAGCAGTTGAGAAATTCACTACACATAGTTTTCACAAATAGTTTTCAATGTTTATTCTCTATCTGCATGTTTTATTTTATTTGTACAATATTTTATTCAGCTTTCAATGTTGTCTTCTCTGTTGTTATACACTATTTCTTGTTTTGTAGCCTTTCTTTGTGGTTGTTATCAGTTAAAATAAAACACACGTCAAAAGTTGCGAAACAGACATTTTACCTGTTTAAAGTTAAAAATGTGAGTTCAAAGCATGATAGTTTTTTTTTTTATATGTATAAACTAATCTTCTATCATGTCTGGCAGTGCCTTGAACCTAAATGCCAATTGAAGATTTCTAGTGAGGATAAATTAAAGGCCTGGGGAATGTATTCTGTGCAATGATTTATTGTTTGTGTTTTTTTGATTACTCCTTTATAATTTTTATGTAAAAAAGGGTTCTTTATTAATATCTTACCCCAGATGACGTCAAAGGACAGTCCAACATTTTAGAGGGTTGTAAGACTAGGTTTCCCAGCTTTCTGATGCTTTTAACGACTCCAAAACATCTAGAACTGGCCCTAACCCCAACCCACCAGTGTCCCACAAGAGAGTGCAGCCTAGGTACCACGAATGCACGCAGCCTAGGTCCCAGGACTGTGTGCCGCCTATCTACCACCCCCTGAAATATTAGCCTGTCCCGTGACCTATGGATTTCCCCTGTTTGGTTTAAGATATTAATAAAGCACCCCAAAAATGTCAACATATAGATAAATTTTTAAACAGAAATAAATAAATACAAATATTGTTTGTGCTCTGTAAATTGGTTGTTTATTGGATTCATTCCGGGAATTCCCACAGGTTGTGACCCTAAATTTTTTTTTTTTTTTTTTAGCATTCATGGGGTGAAAGGGTTGAATTGTTGACTGCAAATAAAGGATCCTCTTAATGGCTGTGGTACATCTCTGGCTTATAGTTCTAGACCCATTTTTTTTTTTTAATAGACCATTCAGCATCACATCTGCCGCCTTTACTTCCCTGACATTACCTGGTACCCTTTTTGGGCTGTATTAACCTGGAAGCCAAAGTCTGTTTGCCTCAGTGTAAATGTGAAATCTTTGACCTTTAGGCAGACAGGTGGGTGTCTGGCCGCTACACCACTACAGACCTTTGATGACATAAATAATGGCTTTTGGTGTGTTGTGTTTTTAACTGTAACATTTGTGTAGATAGTTAATCTGTGATGTCTGTTGTACCACAGTAGCTGATTGTGTATTGCCATGTGTTATAATAACGTCTGTGTTGTCTATGTCTAGCATTGAACATATTTTATTTATTTAAGGCGAAACTAATTGCGTCTGCTGTGAAACCTGACTTGTGATTTCTGTATCCTTCCTCACAGGGCAGATGAACACTCACTAATCTCTAAGTATTCAAACACGTTAAAAAATCCAAGGTAGTGTTTTCATGTATTTTTAGTGCGAATATTATAATGTGTATCTTCTTCGCGTTCACGGGCTGTAAACTCCAGCGGAAAGTTCTGGTGGTCCGTCCACCTCTGCATTTTAGCCTTGTTCCAGAGCCAGTGTGTTGAGTGCACATCCATTTTACAGATCTGACATATTTGTATACAGACTGTTGGTTCCTTTGCCTCTCAGGTAGATGTACTCCAATTTAGAAGGAAGCCCGCAGTTAATTGACTCCTAGGACATGCTTGTTGGGGAGAAAGTGGGTCTATTCTTGTTTTCCCTGCAATGGGGCCCCAAAACCCACACAGGGAAGGCTGTGTATAATATTACTGATGCATTCAACTTAGCTGTTATTTAAACTCACACTGACACACTGCTTACTAAGCTAGATAAAACCCAGTGCAATGAATTTGATCCTCTCTACCTTAAACTGTTTCAACTGTTAAACAGACAGACATGCAGATTGATTGGCTAGTTATTGGATTAAGTACCAAAAATGAAGTCTAAACAAAAACTATGCTGCTTTGCTGATGACCTTGATAGAATGGTGGGGGAGGGTACACTTTCGGGAAAATGAGACAGAGGCTGACCTCCGTGAAGATGGATAAAAGACATTGAAGATGCATTGGCTATGAAAGCACATAGGGCTAAAAAAAGTGAGACTTTGAAGCATGGCGGTGATGAGAGCAATGTTCTATGTAGGACCTGCCATGACAAAAGCAACGTTCTATGAAGGACCTGCCACGATGAGGACAACATTCTATAAAGAACCTGCCGTGATGAGAGCAGCATTCTATTAAGGATCTGCCATGATTAGAGCAACATTCTATTAAGGATCTGACATAACAAGAGCAATGTTCTATGAAGGACCTGCCATGACGAGAACAACATTCTATTTAGGACCTGCCGTGATGAGAGCAACATTCTATGAAGGACCCGCTATGACAAGAGCAATGTTCTATGAAGGACCTGCCATGATGAGAACAACATTCAATAAAGAACCTGCCATGATAAGAGCAGTGTTCTATAAAGTACCTGCCGTGATGAGAGCAGCATTCTGTTAAAGACCTGCCATGATGAGAACAACATTCTATAAAGAACCTGTCGTGATGAGAGCAGCATTCTATAAAGTACCTGCCGTGATGAGAGAGGCATTCTGTTAAAGACCTGCCATGATGAGAGCAGCATTCTATAAAGAACCTGTCGTGATAAAAGCAGCGTTCTATAAAGTACCTGCCGTGGTGAGAGCAGCATTCTGTTAAAGACCTGCCATGATGAGAACAACATTCTATAAAGAACCTGTCGTGATAAAAGCAGCGTTCTATAAAGTACCTGCCGTGATGAGAGAGGCATTCTGTTAAAGACCTGTCATGACAAGTGAGACTTTGAAGCATGGCTGTGATGAGAGCAATATTCTATGAAGTACCTGCCGTCACGAGAGCAACATTCTATGAAAGACCTGCTGACTGACTGACGATGTGTGCTCCTTTACATGTCATGGTTCTCAGTCTCACACATTCACTAAAATCATGCTTAGAAAATTAAATTAAAGCAGCTTAGTAACCTAAAAAGAAAGTAAAGGACTCTTTGGTGAATGAGGCGAGATTCATGTTTTTAAAGACCAT